GACGTTGGTGTCACCTCCGGCGGCACGGACAGCAGTGGCGTAAGCCTGTAGCCACTGGGTTCGGTTCATGCTTCCTTCATAGGGCTCGACCCCAGTGATTTTAAAGCCACGTGGCCACTGGAGTGTTCAGAGCGCCCTGGTGAATGCTGGAGGTCCTTCGGGGTTGCCGGCTCCATCATCTGCAGCGTTGCCGGTGGCGATCGGCTCTAGAGCTAAGTCTGGGTTACCGTACTCTTGCTCGTACTCCTGGCGGCAGCATACTTCTTCTTTATGGCGACCGAAACGACATTGCTCGATACGTCGTCGTGCATCCTAGAGATTACTGAGGTGCACTCGAGCATCCTGTTCGACCTCCTGATCGTGCTAGCGATGGTGCTCGGCGCGGTGGCCCCCCGCTCCACCTTGGAGGGGCAGTGACTGGTCGGCGAAACGGCTTTGGCTAGGGCGGCGATTGGATCTTGGCGTAGCTGATCGATGAATCGTGCTTGTCGAGCACGAAGGTCTTTGATCCTGGCGGATCTCATTGACCTGGTAGTGCGCCGCTTTGAGCATGGCGGCGACCTTGGCGACCTCGGGAGTTTGCGGGAGCTGGGCAAGCTCGTTGGTGGCCACGGCCAAGTTAGCGCTTAGAGTTTTGTAGATGTCATGGCCGTCAACACAGAGAAACTCTTCATCAAGGTTGCGATGGAGCGGCCTCCCTTGCGAGTTGAATTGGTTGTCACGAGCGACCTCAGCCATCGCAAGGGCGTGCTTGTTTTCACTGCACTGTGCGTGATTGATGTTCCTGTTTTCACGAGCGGCGCGTTCCTCATCGGTTTCGTCGTTCCAAGGGGGCTATCAATGCTGACGTTGAAGATTGCGCCACCCCGAAAAGGCGGGAGAGGGGGTTGCTCAGTGAAGGTTTCGGTGAGGGTCTCCGTGGAGCCCTGAGATTCGGAGTCCGGACTTTCCTCCAAGATGGTTTGGAGGGATGCTCCGGGGCATTGGCTGGCGTGCATCATGTTGACCATCGGTGGGAGCTGGTCGGCGAGAGGATGGATATCCTCCACCTGGTCGACGAATTTGCCCCTCAGGGCGTCTTGGTATGTAGCGGCGGTGTTGGCGAGCCCGAAAGGTAGGGCTGTAACCCCTGAAGTTTGCCGAGCAGCTTCCGATAGATCCGGATCGGAGAGTGGTCGGCCCTAAATGAAAGTGTGCAGAGCCGACTCAGCGACGGAGAGGCAATCGGCGAGCTTTAGACCGACCCGATCGATGGATTCAATCAGATCATCATTGTTGATGTGCTTCCTCTGGTAACGGGGAAGCGAGCGGTGAGTCGTTGATGAAGGTGACCTCAGAAGTGGATCCAAGATCGGATCTGTAGTTGCAAGTGCGGGGGTGGTCAGCACAGAACGGATCTGCACCGGCTCAAGGAGCTTTCCGACTCCATCAGCGTTGATGACCCATGAGATGGATCCGACCGTGAAGATCTGGCCGGGCTATGGGAGGGATGGAGAGCCTGTGGAAAAAGCCATCTTGTTCGACAAGAAAACAACACGCACACCCCTACCTGGCGCGCCAACTGTTGACAGAATATCGTCGGTAGTCCTCCAAGGGGTTCCCCACGAAGGTAGATTGATCGACAGAGGAGCGCGTGATCAAGAATAAGAAGGCAACAGAGACACACGAGTTATACAGGTTCAGGCCGTCAGCATGACGTAATACCTTACTCATATGGTATGTTGGTTTGTATTAGCTATCGTATGATATGCCGTGATTTTGGAGGGGGTCCCTACCCGCCTTATATAGTCCGGGGGTAGGGTTACAAGTCGGTTAGATCTGAGAGATAACCGGAAAGTAATAATAGATTACAAGAATCATGGGATCATACATATCCTAACAGATCTCGTAGTATCTTTAGGATATCTTCCCTATGTCTTGTGGGAGGCGTCGAGCAGAATAGTGCCCCGCAAGGCTTCGTCTCGTGGGCTGGGCCGCCCCTAGGGGCGCAGCCCATGTGGTCTACCATGGGTATCCGGGGTCGTACCCCCCATAGCCATGGCTTATCAGCCAAGCGAACATGGCATATATCATTTGCCTGATCGTAAAGAATATTGGAGCAATTTACAATATGCAAGAATATCTGAATTTTGATTTTATGATACATGATATATTATTTGTTATTAGCAGTGTGATTTCCATTGTTACATTGGGCATATTCTCATATCTTAGGCTCTATCATTATATGAGGAAAGCTAATCTCCGTTGTTATTAGTACGTATGAATTTTAATTCATACTATGCGTGTGGCTTACATGAGTTTTTTCCATGGATATGGATTGGTGGGCACCATGGAAGAGACCTCAGGCTCCATTGATGTTCTAAAGCTTGTCTTCGATGCCCTGTAACTCTTTCAGCGCATTGCTTTGCATGCCATCTGTCCATGTAACCCCTGCGCATAAAATTGAAGTATCATATCTGCAATCTAGAGAAAACCACTTTCTGTTATGATTCGGTATAAACATATAGTATCTAAATGTTTTTCATTTAGAATTGATTGTTGACTAATCACTGACAACGTTCATTCCAATGCAGTATATAACCACAACCACAGAGCTATTGGAATAGGCCGGAGCAATGACTACTAAGATGTATTTTTTTAACCTGGAAATTCCATTACTCGTCTGCCATAAGGTCGGCAGTAACAAAAACATTTACAGAGTCTAGGATGGAGCTTGAAATCAGCTCTTCCCCTTCAAAACACGCATACCCCAACTCAGCCAAAGCATGAGCAACTCTATTACATTCCATTCACTTAAATAAACAAACAAAAAAGGAAAAATTCACAGAAGCTAGCGACTTCAGTTCTTGCACCAGCCCTCCTTTAGGTTTTGCACATAACGCCTCTGCTGCCAACTCTTGCTGGAGTGTGAGTGCATTGGTCTCCAGGGTTAGTCTGCTAACCCCCAAGTTCAGTGCCGCTTGGACACCTTGCAGAGCTGCTATTACTTCAGCTTGGAAAGCACTTAGCAAATGATTGGCGTAGTAGTGAAAGTTTTTTTTGAGTACTAGAAGATATTGTAATGTGCTTGGCTATTTGTAACAGCTAATGTTTCTCAAGGATCAATTATTTTAGGAAAAAAATAAGAATCGTCTTCCATAGTAAATAAAATTGTGGAAGATAGCAAATAGCAAGAGTGGAATGACTCCCTCATCACACTTAGAGAATTATATTTTTATAACAGTCAAACATTACATATGAAGAAGGGTGGCCTTGGTATACGAGTCTTGTACGGAGCAAACTGATAATTCAAAGAGATGGTTAGTTCTAAAAGGTTGAGGAATCAATTAATATTGTTATGATGATATGAACTTTTATGTGCGTATGCACAAATGTACAATACTATAAATGCATATTGCGATGATTGCAAACCATCACTGAGAATTTTAGCCATGCACAAAATTTAATTTGTAATATTGATATTCCGAACATCACGCTCGCATTATCGTTTTTTGTAACAATACAACACGTTCATGCTCAAATTATCATGTCATTATTTGTTCCTATTGCAACGCATGGAAAGGTCTATACGGTAGAGTTGGTGAGACTACGACGCTACGCTCTCCATGACTGTGTTAATTTCATAAACTTTGTTTTTTATTTAAATACCACTTAAGTCGGTATTTAATTTCACTTATTGTTATCTTATCATGTGATCTGTGTGTTTTTAGTACAAAAGTTTAGTTGTCCCGTAACAACGTACAGACACGGTACCTAGTAAAAAGACTAAAGATAAGACACTGTTTTGGTGCGATAATCCTTAGCCTCACCCCTTCCCACAACTAATAAAAAGACTAAAGATAAGACACTGTTTTGATGTGATAATCCTTCGCCTCACCCCTGCGAAAAAAATTCCCACCCCAACGCTCTGCCAGCTTGTGCTATCTCCTCCACGCTCTCCTCCAATCACACGCGAGATTCCACGTGCAATCAGGCACCTCCGTCTCTCCTTCATCTCCATGCTGGCCCACGCCGACGCCTGCTCTCCCTCCCTGCCCTCGCGCCGCCACGTGGGAAATGTGGAGGTCGCCACCAGAGACCACTCCACACCTGCACCGGCACCTCACCAAGTCGGCGTGGGCCCGCCCTCGATCGTTGAATCGCTGCCGTAGGAGCTACGGCAAACGTCGACGAGCGTTGCCGCCCTTCTCGCTACCGCGAGCGTCGCTACCCAGGGAAACAAGACGAACCCCTACGCCCCGCTCTCTCGCTCTGTCTCCCTCGGCCGGTTCAACGTTGGGGCGGTTAGATCGACGTCGTCTCCAACCAGTGGCGGACCCAGGATTTGAAACCAGGGTAGTCTTAGTCAAAATTTTTCATGTGCAACACGACAAAATTCAAAGAAAAAGTTCGGTAAAATGCTTATAAATTAACCAAATTGAGATAATACAATTGAAAGGTTCAATTGTACAGGTTCTTAAAGAAACTTCAAAATTTATTGTGCAATAAATGATGGAATTATCAACCTTGTTGACAAGGTATATTAATCTTCAAAGAAGTAGGAATTTGTCTATGTTGCACTAAGCTATTTCTACTTATGCTTCCTGTTTCCTGTTGGCTGTCAAACAACTGTGCAGTTGTTTGAGATACCAAAGCATGAAGCACTAAAAGCCCTTGACATTTACGGGGGGCTGGCCAGCAGGTAACTGTCCTATACGGTAGTAATGTGCAATGTATCTTAACTTGAAGAAGATCAGGATGTAACAATTATGTGTGCTTAGACGCTTAGCTGCTATTTTTTACCCATCAACATCTTTGATGCTTCAGGCTGAAACCTGTCTGACTTCTATGAAAGTTGTCGGGGTTTAGACCTTGCAAGAAATTTCCAGTTTCCCACTTTGAGGGAGGTGAGGTCATTTGTCTCAGCGTTCGCCATGTAAATTTTTACTATGTAAGAGTATGACCAGATACTCAGATTTGATTTATCTTATTTTCAGCCACCACAAACATTCCTTTCAACCATGGAGGAGTATATGAAGGAGGCTCCACGTATGATGCCAGTTATAGAGCCACTGGTTAGTTCCTGGGTTCTAATAAACCATTTGGATTTTTGCATGACACCTTTACATTTTATAACAACTAACAAGTAGGAGCCTTGACGATGGTATTTGTGTGATACTTCTTGTGCCTTCCTTGTTAAATAGCATATCACAACCAGTGCGAAGCTACGGCAAATTAGAGAGGGATGCTCTACTGCTCTTGCCTTGAGGGTGCATATACATGTTCCACAGGGGTTGCATGTATGGTGAAAAGTTAGATAACATCATTGTTTTAACATTTTTAGGGGGTACATTTGCACCCCCTAATCTCAATATAGCTTGCACTGATCACAACTTCATTCTTCTTTTAGATCTAATGACAGCAAACTACCTGATGTAGGGAAACAGTTAGCATCAATATTTGTGGCCCAATGAACAATTTCTCTTTTACTTTGATATTTTTGTGATAATTGTTTCATCAGTGTGAATGTCACACGCTCTTTTTGGGAGATAAATGATTACTGTCAAGTCAAGTTTATACCAGGCGATTTACTTATTGTGGAATACTGGAATGGATTCTTAAATACGGGCTATCCTTCTTATTTCACCAGGAGCTTCCTGAGCGGCTTCTTCTGACATACAAACCAGAAGAAGAAGAAGTTCGTGAGCCTATTCCTATTGTAGAGGAGAAACTGCAAGTTGTTGAAGAACCTGCTCCAGTTCCTTCTTCCCAAATAGCTTCGCCTCCCAAGCCTGAGATTGCAAATACTGGTGATTTACTGGTAAGTATGAAAATGGTCACAAAAGTGAGTGACATTAATGCTTTTATATTATAATTTAAATGTCATATTTTATCATAGGGGTTAGGTGATTCAACCCCTACTGTGTCGGCTATAGAGGAGAGCAGCGCTTTGGCCTCGGCAATTCTTCCTACAGGTAATTCTAATTGTTTACCACAGTTTAACACACATCTGATGGGAGAATTCTACCATTTTGGTAGTGATTGCATTCCTTCTCCGAGTTTTTATTTCATTGTCTATGTTCTGTCGGGGTGGAAATGAGCATTTGGCATTAGGTGACTAGCAGTCACGGTGATTTTTTAAGTACTCGGACCAATCTTAGGTGATCAGGTAATTTCGTCATGCACTGTTTCATTATGAAACACAATTTGGTTTTAGGCTGGAAGGTTCTAGTTTCATTTTGGCTTAGTGTCACGGGGTCAAAACCGTGACAAGCATTTGTTGTTCGATAGGGGTTAGAGTGCAATGCCTCCGGTGGCTCGGGTGGACTCAAGAACACAAGAATCATAGAGAGAACACGGCGATTTATCCTGGTTCGGGCCGATGGTGCCCTACGTCCAGCAGTTGATGATCCTTATACTCAGGAGCACCCAAAATCAGGGGGTTACAACTGAGAGTAGGAAGAGATTTGGTAGGGGGTTAGCTCAGTGCTAATCCTAGGTTGCCTCGCCACCGATGGAGTCTTCCCCTCGCCGGAGAGGAGGAAGACGACGGGAGTAGAGGTGCTCTGCCCTCTGTGCTGGGCATGAGCAGAGCGGTGGCACGATCGTCTAGGATCGCTCTATGGTGGAGTGTCTCCGTGTGCTGATCGCTCCTCGGTGGAATGATCAGCCACTGTTCGTCCTCTCCCCTCTGTAGGATTCAACCTCCCCTTATATTCCGAGGTAGGTCGGGTACAAGGCGGTTTGGGGAGTTTGTGTCTACGGTCTACATACACCGGAGTCCAGGTAGGCCTTGCAGCGACGTCTTGTGGACCGCAGAGATGTCTTGGCACCGAAGAAGCGCTAGGCATCGTCTGGCTGTTCTATTCTGACATCCTACGTGTCAGCATCTGTTGGCTTGGACCGGTCTCCCCTAGGTGCACCTAATGGATTCTTCTTGGTGGCGAGGGAGGCTGGCTCGAGGGGCCGATGAGTGGGCCCAGAAGCCCCCGAGCCCCTTGAGGCCGAGGAGGAGGAGTTTGTCTCCTTGTGTCACGCTCTGTGCATGACCCTATCGGGGGAGAGGCCGGCAAGGCCGCCCCCAAGGGGCAGTTGTGGGGGTATAGACCCGTATACCTATAGAGTTGTACATGGGTTGCACCGCAGGAGCCGTCCTAGCCCACAAGATCAAGCCACGCGGGGCACGAAACTGGTCGGCGTGCATCGCGGGACTACGTGAAGATACTTGATTACGAAGGAAGATCCTATCGGATATGCTAGATATCGTATTCCATACAAATACTTGCCTTGTAACCAATCAGGATTAGATCCAACCGACCTGTAAACCCAACCCCCCCATGCTATATAAGGCGGGTAGGAACCCCCCTCGATTCTAGAGAACATCAATCAATACAATCCACAAAGACGCAGGACGTAGGGTATTACGTCGCCTTGACGGCCCGAACCTAGATAAATCCTCGTGTTCATCTTGCGTCACCATCTAGTTCGTGTCTCGTGCACCTCCACCGATTCATCTACTACCATGGGCATACCCCTCAGTAGACTGCCTCCAATATTTCATCGACAGTGGCACGCCAGGTAGGGGGTGTGCACGTAGACTCCATGGCGAGCCAGATGGTCTATTTTCTGAGCTCCATGGCCCCGACGCTACCGAACCAGACGTTCACGGTCGGGTCTATGACCTGAACCATCGGCGTCGACGGCAACACCGAGATCATGGAGGCGGTGTGGAGTCCTTCTGCGCCGATCGAGCCTACATTAGCGCTGGTAGATCTGATCCCGAAATCACTTTCGGGGTCGTCTACTCCGACAAGCCATCACTCGCTTCCCTGCTATCCGAGGAGGCAGATTGACAACGATGATCTGATCGCATCTATCGATCAGGTCACAGTTGGCTTAGCCAAATCCTTGTCCTTCGTGGAGTCGGTGTTAGATCGATCTACTACCGAGGGATGCTACTGCCCAATCCATCATCGCCAGACCGAGCGACCTGCTCAGACTAGTCGCCTAAGGCCTCTAGATTCCAATCTGGTGATCACAGCAACTCCTGAAGGGCGGACGGTCCAACACCGACCACTACCTGCGACTAGCCTGAGGCTGGCAGACCACCAAGCCCTAACGGAGCAACTGCCGAGCCCTTATTCTTTTGGGCTGAGGAACGTGGCGTCTACATATCTAGATCATGTGCCGCATCTTTTCATCGACCACATCGAGCGCGACCACGTCAATGATCTCTACTTGATCGATCTGCCTGAGGCCGATCATCCTGCGCCCGTGGTGAACATGGTGCAAATCCAACAAATCCTAGCCAGGTCTCTCTCCTATTCTGGAGGAAAGCACCGGGTCTCACTCAGGGGCCCCGACGGACATTATCTCTGGAAGCGATGATTTCCCTAATATCCCACCTGGCTATGGAGGGGCAATCTTCAATATCAGCGCCAACAACCCCACCAGAGATGGCGAAACCAGCCAAGAGCGGCACGACTTGGAAGAAAGAAACGCCAATCGCGAGCACTGTCACGAAGATGCAGCTAATGCTGCCAGAGCATATGCAGATGGCCGACGTCCTCTCTGCCATGACCTCGGCGAAGAGTTTGACATGGTGGGTGTTGGTATTTATTAACACATATAGAAAAGATCCACAAGTGCATGGATACCGTTGTAGCTTTCATCTAGAGTATTCTAAGTATCGTATCCACAGGGAAACGTGTGAGATTAACTATAGTCTAACTTAACTAGGGGTAGCAACAAGGATACTGATAAACAGAAGCTGGCGGTGACAAGGCTAAGGATAAACAGGAGCATAGAGAGGACAACTTAGGTTCTCTAATTCTAACTTGGGTAAGCTATGCTTTCTACTATTCAACTGGGGACATTACTTAAGGAGAAACACCAACATAGGATGATTTTCCTTAGCAACCAGGTCCTACTTGGCCTATAAATGGGAGGTGGACTACAGAGGATTCAATAAGACTATCTAGAAGTGGGGATATCTAGCACATAGCAATGTCACACTCGTGATCTACCACCGATCCAGAATGCAGGGTGCATCCACAAGTAACCGAGTCTAAGAACCACGCTTACACTACGAATACTACTTTAACCTAGGGCCAATTAGATTAAAGCACTCAAAAGAGTTGTGAACCAGAAGAACAATATAAACACGATGCTTACTCGAATCAGAAGTTGATTACTAGAGGAAGTCTTAGAAGTAAGCTCGAGAAGAACTTGATTCCACCAAAGTACAAGCCGTAGAGGGAGCACCGACAGGCCAGAGCCTCCTCCAAACTCTTCCCTCGCTCTCTATCTCACTATTTCTAATTATAAGACTAAATCCTAATGAGGACTAATCTTCTCTTGATAGCTGGCTCTGATCTGAATGAGAGTTGATCCTTTCATGGGACTTCTCTCAAACGATCCTGATGAGGAGGATATGAATTAGGGTTTCAAGATGCTTTTGCCTCAGGGAGTATAGGGCCATATATATAGGGGGTAGCATCAATTATGGACCCTCGGATCAAACCGACCTTGAGCGACGGCGGAGATGCAAACCCTAAGGCGGTGGGAAACCGACCTACGAAGCGGAGGGAGATTGGGCTCTGGGGCAGGCCGGCTGGCCGGCCCACTTTCGTGGTCAATCGGCCCAATCTTTGTCGAGTTGCCTTCTGGAGTGTTCTAAATCCTTTTGGTGTTGGTGCCCGTGCGGAATTAATATCTTTTTATTTTGAACTCCAATTATAGCAAATAATATGTCCGTTTTGATCGTCTCGACGAGCTCTTCGTAATGGTGCACTCCAATTCATCATTTGAGATAGCTTTGTACTGTGAAAAATCAAATATCCTGCAAGACAAGTGAGAGCACCAAAACTTGTGGAATTCATTAGTTTAAACCCCTATACCTATGTTTGGTGATTGAATTAAGTGTATATGCAGGTTATGTTGATGGTTTATGATTGATATTAACTATTGTCAATAGCTCCCCCAAGCTTAACCTTTGCTTGTCCCTGAGCAAAGCTAAACCTAGTGGTGGATCAGGAGTTGCTACAATGCTTTCACGCCTCAAAAGTACACATGCGTTCAAACGTAAATTCTCCTCCGGATTAGAATAAACTGATCTGACTTTCAAACTCACCCATATTACCTTCAACCATGGGGCTTCTTAGTCTTCACTTGGGTCTTGAGCAATTGAAAGACAGAATGGTCAAGTCAAGCACTATGTCTCAAGCTCTTCGTTCAACCATTATTCTAGAGTTTTTGTAGGTTTTCAAAATAAAACTCAGAGATTCCTTTGTATGACCCTCTCAAGTCTCTCATATGTGGTATTTGTGAATTCTCACCAAGGCAATAATGATGTTATGACTTCTCTCTTCTCCTACAACTAAGGCTTATGTGGAGCTCATAGGTGTGGAGACAATGCATATGGAGACAGCACATACATACTTGCAAAGCATATATTTGAAAGTCAAACAATGAATGCAGAGAAACGAGTCATACAATCAAATCAAGATATGCATGTGTGTGGATATAGTGAGGGAGTGAATATGGTGGATATGGTGGACCTAATTCTACTTTGCTCCTTGCAAAAACACATCTCCCTTTAAAACTTGGAAATAACTTTGCAAGAGAACAGGGGCTATCTTATTCATTTTTTTATTTTTTTCAGGCGGGCATCGAAGTACCCATTGTTTTAGATATCTCGGACAGTTGTCCATTTTTTCAATACTTCTCTTTTTTTATGAATAACTTTTGCATAGCCCCATGCCTCTTTCTGCAACTAAACTTTTGAGAGATAGCAACAAGAACATTGGAGCATTTATTTGGTGGATGGGAAAACCTATCAAGTATGTTTTTGGTGTTCACTCCCAATGTAGGAGTGGAACATTTTTGGGTGGATCTAAATGGAAAGCATGTTTTTGCGTACTTCCAGTGTAGAAGCAGCATATTTGGGTGGAGTGTACGTGATCTTGATTTTAAAAGCATGACAAGTCTCTAAGGGTCAACAAAGCTTGACAACACTCAATGCAATAACAAGCAGTATATATATGTGGAAGTTTTTCTAGCCTAAATAACATGTATGGCTGTGGTAGAAATTCAAGCTCTATCATACAGGAACTCATCATGTAGCATGTTTATGTTTTCAAAAAGTAAATCTCCAAAACTCTAGTGTCACTAGGAATAAGATAAATAGCAGCTCAGACCTTCACATATAATATCCATCAATTACCTAGACTT